TGGGTCCATCAACATTTTCCTCTCCAGGCCTCTAAATCCAGCACTGGGGTGAGCTTACAGTGAGTTCTACAATGCATAACATCTGGATGTCATGTTCCTGGAACCTGGCCCAATCTTTGAGAGATTGTTATATAAATAGAAAAGAAAGTAAATTACACACTGACGTCATATTTTTGTCGATTCCGTGGCAGTAAAGGTTATCCTTTGATAATGCAGCTGTTGTGGGCAACGTTCCCCATGATGTACAACTAGCCAAGTGACTGGCTAAGCATTATAGAAAGCACAGACTATGGCATTTGAAGTGCTAATATTTAGACATCACTATGTTATAAAATACATCTGGCAGATCAAAATTGCTCCAAAGTTAAAAGCTCCAGAAATTGACCATCATAATACCACTAGCATGGTTCTTTTCAAGAAAGTGGTTATAGTGTTTTCACATCTGGCTCTTAATCTCACCCCTCCTGGTGTGGCAGGCATGCATGGGGAGTACAGTATATACCATTAAATGCTTTAGATATGCTTATCTTGTAAAGTTAACATAATCTGGTTAACATGTTTAGCTATGATTAGAGTCTTCCAAGGATCTAGCTTTACAACACTCACCCATTTGCTGTATGTGGACTCTGCAAACCTCACACTGGCTCATCTAACCAGATGTTCAACAGTGTCACATATATGATCTGAAATGAAAGGTCCTTAGTTCTAAATCGTTTTCATTCTAAAGGTCTAATGCTCCTCTAAAATAGTTAATAAACTAATTTATATCTTGACTACGGGGATATGAAAATCTGCTGGTTGTGTGGCTGGGACGTGTGGGACCTTTTTCTGCTGCTTAAAATATTTAAATATTTTGGATGGATACACCAGTTTTATAATACAATGGCAGAATGATTTATAGCATTTAATTGGAAGCTTACTGCTTGGAGGAATTACAGTGTGTTTTTTTCTTAAACTCTGGCACAAATTGCCATTCATTGAATACTGTAAATGTATCCTAGTTGTTAGCACGTTCTTTGTTAAGCAGTAAATTGCTCTCCTGTTAGAATAGAGAAACATTAATTATAACATCTCAGGCATATAGAATATTGGTTCTATGTTTGGGATCCAATGATCTATGATTAAAATGTTTTGTTGTGTGTAATGAATCCCAGGTTTAGGGTGTAATGTCCACATTAGCCAACAGATCAAGACTTTGGAGCAATCGTAGAAATGCACAGACACTGATTTTGTGCTTGGGCTCTGGAGAGTTACAGGTTTCAGATGTTGAAAACAAATCTTCAATTTAGGGCTTTGGCTATGCCACAGTTTCTGCCTGTTATTATTTATCATTATTATTAGTTATAGAGCGCCAACAAATTCCACAGCGTTGTACAATGCGGACTAACAGACACGTATTTATATCCAGACGAGTTGGACGCAACATGCTAGAGCAGGGATAGGCAACCATTCGGCACTCCAGATTTTGTGGACTACATCCCCCATAATGCTGGCAAAGTATCATGGGAGGTGTCGTCCAAAACATCTGGAGTGCCAAAGGTTGTCTGTGCCTGTGCTCAAGGGCTTGTTTCAATATTTTGTTTTAAATACCATTAAATCTTACTATCCTCCTTTGGAGCAACATGGCTGTAGGAATGAGCTTACTGTTTGGTAGATGTGGGAAAATGATGGCCACGATATAGGGTTCATTGGCATGTGCAGCACATTATTAGGGTGTGTGCACAGAGAGAAGACACAGAGAGAAGACACTTCGACCATGTATTGGGGTGTGCCTGGTCACACATGCACCCTGTTGCACGTGCCTATGTATGGAAAATTGGGTTCTAGAGGTAGAATTTAGACATCATCTGTGGAGTATGATTGCTGTGTCATGACGTTTGGTTTGCTGTGAGGCGAGGAGTATGATGTGCTGGAGAAAACTGTGAGAGAAAACTGAAGGGTTAGATTATTTTTTAAAACTATTCCCTGCTTTATGTCACTCATTGTGAATGATTCCATAGATAAAATGTGCCCAGGCTGGAGTACCAGTATGTGTCTTGTATGCCGTAATATAAGAGGGTATGACAGTGCCCAGCTATAGTACAATATGATAAAGCCTTCTAACCTTCTTAGAACCCTTTATGTTAAGGTTTAACTCAAAGGGAATGTCAAATTGTAGGCTGGTATAGCCAAACGGATTAAATAGCTGACTTGGAGGATCTTTCTAATTCAGATATTATACTAAAATGTGAAATTTACTTAGAATTAGTTATTTTGACATTTCAAGCCTGTGTACTTCTATTCATTAGAGGTTCAGTGTTACATCACAACCTATTTACTGCTTTAAATAAACAATCTATGGGAGTTTTTTTAATGAGTATATCTTTTTGTTTTTTGTATTTTACCATAATGCATTTCTAGCCTTCTCTAAAGTGATTATCGCTGTTATTATTAACATATTAAATGAAACAGAGATGCATGTTTTCAGGGACTGTTTGCAAGTTATTTAGGAGAACTACGGTATCCTGTTAGCATTCCTAACAAGAGTCTGTTCATATATAGGCTTCCAATGATTTCCTGGAGCAGCATATGGAAGCAATAGCTGGGTTATGCAGCCAGGCAAGCTGAAGTTGTACTACAGGAGCCTATAATAGCAATCAGAGAGCTGCGGGCTGTTTGCTAGCCCCATAGATGTGCAGGAGGCAAATCCTCTCTGAGTGCAGCTTCTCCCTAACCAGTCAGATACTGTGTACAATCAGAAAACATTCTACTAGACCAGGCTTCCCCAAACTCCGTCCCTCCAGATGTTGCTGAACTACAACTCCAATGATTATGTGAATGAAATAGATTGCGGCTGAGAATCATGGAAGTTGTAGTTCAGCAACATCTGGAGGGCCGGAGTTTGGGGAAGCCTGTACTAGATCGTGTTGGGAGTTGTGACCCACTACAGCTAGAGTACAGCAATGGCGTCCCATACCATGAACTAATTTAATGAAAACATATGGGCAGTCACCAAAACATCTATTTAGTCAAGTAAGTAATGGATACAAAGCCATCCAGTCCTTGCCACAACCGTTGACAACGTAGAAATAGAACAAAACGTCCAGAACTCTTACTTAGTGAATTAATTTCCCTTTAGAACATCAACAACAGCCACAACAGGTCAGCCATTATAAAGATGTAGTAAAAGAGATTTTGTTTACTAAGAAGGAATTTTGAGCTCCTCACTTGTTTCTATGTGAACTAATGTAACAGTTTTACATAAATTATGAGTTTGATCAATTTTTGTGTGTGTGTGTGTGTGTAATTGCAGACAATGCATTCAGATGGACCAGTCCAGACCTTGCCTGGAGCAAGAAGAGTCTCATTTGAATAAAATGCCACTGCTGTGCCAATAAAACAATTTAAAAAAAACAAGCACTCAAACCATTTATCACCAATTATAGGTCATAAACGCGTTTTGAAGAGTACACTGGCAGTTCTACCCAGATCCAAAGTCCCAAGGGGCCAAGAACCTCTGTACCCCTCATACCCCTACTTTTCCAAGTCCCAAGGGGCCAAGAACCTCTGTACCCCTCATACCCCTACTTTTCCTTTAGTGAATAACCCTGATACTGTCACAAAGAGTGGGTAACAGAATAGTTACATCTCAATTATCCTGTTGCAACGGTTCCACTGGAACTGGGAAGGAAAAAAAAAAAGACTCCTAGCCCTCCCTATCAGAAAGCCATAGGCTAGGCAACCGAGTGGATCCAGGTGGGTCATTGCTCCCAAAGGTTTATCAATAATTCTGAATTTCCCCTTTGCAGAATATGGAGTGAATGAGGACTGATTTGGAAGACACACGCAATGGTGATCACATCCCTGCTGTTGGGAGTACTTTTGGTATTTTTTACAAAAATGCATGTGCCAGGCCTGGATTCAGTAAATTGTATCCAGCAGCCTCAGTATTTACTTTATTCACTCAACTCGAAAGTATGCATTTTATAAGCATCCCTGATACTATACGGAACATGATCGTCCTCTAAATGTACTTTTGTGGTAAGAAACTGGATTCAAACTTAATATCCTGGATATAGGCTGTTACATTTTGTGTTATTTGATAAAGGCTGGATACAATACGTTGCCAATCTTTTCTTGCTGGCTGCATTCTGGACTCAATATATACAATACACACCATTTTAATCAAAGCTTTAAATATGTGTATTTTTTTAAACATATGGACACAATTATACTAAACTCCCCTGTGCATGATATAGTCTGATATAGATTTTTATTGGAGCAACAGCGCCCCCAGGCCGTCAAAAAGGGGCAGCAATGTTATTTTTTTTCTGCAATTAAACACCCAACTTTCCGTTGTTCTCATTGAAATCAGACACAGTACTTTATTGCAAAATAATCCCGGATGCAACTCCAGTTCTGTTTTTGCATTTTTTTTCTCCACTAAAGTATTTGTATTATACAATGTTGCAGATCTCAGTTTCAAAACCAACTACTTAATGTTTTATTTAATTTTTGTCCGGGATATATGAAATAAAAACAATAATTATCATGTCGACCACTGAACTGTGAGTCATTGTATCTCACTCTGCATGTTTGTCTATATTTATGTTAAAAACTAGAATCAGTACCCTTCCCTCTGGCTTAGAGAAGGGGTATTAAAGAGATGAGCTGCAGTCTAGACGTTAATTCTTTAAACAAAAAAAACTAAAACTAAAAAAAAAAGAAAAAGAGAGAAGGATCTGAATAGCAGTAAAGGAACAAAAAAAATCTTTGTGTTAACATAGAGTGCATAGAGAATCTGCACAAACAGATAAAAAACCACAAACACACAAGTAAACACACAGCACCTACAGCTATAGAATGCTCAACATATAAACAAGATTTGAAGTTGACTCTAACTGTATAAAAGTCCCTGACTTTTCCTGACACCATGTAGGCAGGACTTTGTACGTGCAAACATCACTGGAGACTATTATTATGAAGCAGAGAGAGGAGGGCTTCATTCTAAGCCTGCAATAACTGTTTAGAAGGATGGACTATATTGAATCAATTACAAAGCACAGTGTTTGAGCTCTATTACAGTTGAATTTAGGAGGGAGGTCAACTAACTGCAGGACGCTCTCAGGATAAATACTTTTATTATTTTTATTTTATTTTTTCTCAATATAATTTTTTTTAATTGATATTTAACACATACTGAAAAGGTAAGGGTGGTTATAATATATCTATACAGACACATAATTATGTAGATATTATTTTTATTATTATTATTTTTATTTTATTTTTTTAATTTAATTTAGGAACAAAACACAATTTTCTCTAGAGATATTTGGTGTTTTCCAGTTTCTTTCAGGGTTGGGACAGGATAGTAATTTTGTAATTTTGATGAGATTGTTATGTTGTTGATTGATCTGTAGGGGTAATTACTTTGTATCTTGTGTAGGCAGAATTTTCCCTGCAGAATGCGTTTTAACTTGGTAAGCGTTGTCTATATCAATGATACACGCTGATAAACTCCAGATAAGTCGTTTTAAAAAGGAATAGGGAATTGGCAACCACCTGGGAGAAGCTCTTGGATGGGTTTCTAGACCTTTTATTTGGCTCTGGATGAAGTTTACACAGTCATTGCTGGTGCTGATGGAGGTCTCACTTCAGATCTAAGCAAGGAGAACATCTCCTGAGGATGTGGAGATAGCTCCAGTTCCCTGCTAATTCTTGGCTTTTGGTACACTGGATATATGCACATTCAGGATTTCATTCTTGGAGCTAAGTCGATTTCATGCTGGAAGTTAAAGTTTCAGGAAGGACTGTATCTGCCCAGGGCTCTGTGGATGGTTCCTTTTTCTCTGGGGCACATGCGATTTCCCACTAATGACAACCACATTGTGAATTGAACAGTCTCTCCCTCTCTCCAACATTCCTGGAACCTGGTCTTCTGGAATTCAGAGCTGGACTCGAGGCTCTCTCTCAGGATTTGGGGGATTGCTTTCTTGTTGAGGCGAAGCTCTTTTCCAACTTGTATGATCTTCAGATGATTCATACAACAGGAAGGGCAGCCAACACTCTATTTGGGACAATCTAAATAATCTTCTAACCTTGAGGTGTTTGGGTGTACTTTTAAGACTCATAGAGGAACAGAAAGAGGTAAGTGGGGACTTTTAAAATATCACGCTATACATTGTTATTTTCATTATTTTGTTTCTCGATTTTGTTTATGTTTTGTTACAAATATGTGTTGTTATATTTAATGTTTTGTGTGTGCTGGTCGTATACTTTCTTAAGGAGATATATCCTCACGGTGATTCAATTTCCTCTGTCCATGGCAGTGTTGCTTTTCCTATTTAGCTTTTATAGCCTGATTTATTCATCACTTTTATAGCTTGGTGTTTGTTCTTTATGCGTTCTTGTCACACCTAATTCCCTCTTTCTCTAAACCACATGTTTGCATCCTATTGCCATGTCAATTGTCTTTTAACAATTAGTGGAAGTCAAAGGACAGTGGAAGGGGGGTATAACTGTTAGTCTCTTTGCATCCCAGCTCCCCCGTGGTGATCCCCAGGCAGCAAGGCTGCTAAATCGCTTTATCGTCCTACCAGATTCAAGTATTTGGTAGAAAGTCCTAGGAAATCCAGTGTTCTATTGAACCTTGGTAGAAACCCCAAGAAAACCAGGGTTCGTCTATAGAACCTTGGTAGAAACCCCAAGAAAACCAGGGTTCGTCTATAGAACCTTGGTAGAAACTGCAACCAATCTAGTATTCTTCTCTATAAAACCTTGACAGCAACACCAATAGGTCCAGTTTTCTTATCTAGGACCTTGGTAGAATCTCGTAGGGAGTCCAGTGTTCGTGCAGATCAGTAACTTGCGAACCTAGCTAAAATAAGCAGGATTCGTAAAAAAAGAGATTCTCCTGAGAAGTTTTACCCATTGATCAAACCTCCAGGCTTATCCCCAACTTGGCTGAGTGATAACCTGTGTAAATGGGCCAGGCTTTTTGGCTCCTCTGAGCCCCGCTGAACATTTTTGGATGTGCTTGCTGTAGGTCAGGATCCAACGAAATTTACTGAACAAGCCATTAGGTTGTAAGTATGCAAACTAACACACACACTTTCCCCATCAGTTTATAATGATAACATTTTTCCATAGTCTTGTTCTTGTGTATTGTTACAGTCTTTTACTTGTGACACTAAGGATTGTGTTTATCTCTAAGCTACAAAGTCATATCTGATATAGCCATGCATGGGATTGTGTTTAAATCTGCTGAGTTTTGGGATTGATGGTACATCACCCTTAGCTATTTTTATTACACCATTGCACCTCTTCTATTGGCTAACTCTGCATCATCTTTAGGATACACCAAGACTGGCAATAAGAAGCTGATAAGATAAGGCTCTTTCAGGAGACATTAAAAGGTTTCAGTTAGACATAGAACATCTGCTGATGAAATCAAGGTTCCCAGAATCCTGGAGCACAGCAGGGCAATCTGTCACTGGCTTTGTCAGGCATTTGGACATTTAGTTAAGGCATGTGTCCCTTCACACCTTTCATTCCAGCCCTAACATTCTCCCAGACATGGCATGATAACTTTCATTCACATTCCTGCAGGCTCTGTAAGATGTCACATGAAGAGGTCTCTCCCCCCTACCTATCATCAGTATTTTAAAAATAAAAAAACCTTTTCACTTTTATAAGTATGGTAACAAAAAAACTTAAAACTTTTAAACACCATTAGTCACTATATATTTGCTGCTGCTGTTGATCCAAACAAAAGGAAAACATTCACAGCCACATAGGATTGTGACAACTTGTGCATTGTCCTGCCCTTTGTAATATGTTTGAGCTCTCCAGGACTTGCAATATATGTTGGTTAAAGAAAACCAGTCTTGTTTTGCAGAGATGTTGTGAATGGTCTGTTTGTGACTGATGGCTCTTCATATGTGTATTTAGAAGGTGAAGCTGGATGTCTGCCATTCATTATTTAGTAGTAGACCTCAAGTTGCACTGCACTATGGTATATGTTAGAACTTGATAAGAAAGTACCAACCGCAGCAATGTGTTTATATAACATTCTAGCCTTGTTTTTTTGGGAACATTCAAACTCTTGTGCAATCAGAGGTTCCAATTCTTTCCTAGACTTCTACAGAGACATTTGTATTCAGTATTTCAGACATAAATCTATCTGGGGCGTATGTGGGTGTGGAGGGAACTGTTAGTTCACTACGTAAACAAAGTGATCATATGAAAGCTGGCTGTGCAGATTGCCACATACTGATAGGACAGGAGACGCCAGATCACCCTTCTCAAAAACATTATGTAAAGGGTCCAGTTTATTACCTCCCTCTTCCAGATGTGCCCGTGGGAGGGGAAAGCCCATTATTCATTTCCCAGAAGCCTGCCAGATGCAGGGACACTGGATTTGTGCATTGCTATATCATGCACACTAATGGAAAAAGAATTCTGTTTAAAGATGTGGACACTTCATTTGGCAAGTTATGAAAGACTGAATACTCTTTACAGAACCGCTGGACTAAAACTCCCATCATCCACAGCCTGTCTGAGGATAATGCGAATTATAGTCTATAGAAATGGAATAAAATTGCATGTGAGGATTCTTGCCTCTGGATTTAGTGTGGCTCCCAGTTTAGGGTCAGAATAAAATGTGTTTAATTCCAATTTGTGTGCAGTGATAGAATTAGTGTAGTACCCCATAGGCAGTGGGTTACAACTCCAATGATGCTATGCCAGCCAAATGAATGCAAATCCTGTGTGTTTTAACCGAAATTTAGAAGAATAAATATGGCACCTAAGTACAAAAGCTGAAAAAAATACACAATTTTCACTATTTAAAGAACACAATTATCCAACAAGGCAATCATAATTTTTGATTTTATATTCTTTTGATTTTTTTTTTTTAATAGAGTTGGATCTACTTTTTTTTTTCCACCGATCCCAGTTTAAATATAATGTATGAAAGGGGACACTTCTAAATACATACATCTATCTATCTATCCAATGTGTGGAGACAAGTTGGCACCATTTGTGATATACAGTTATTCAGTAGTTTCTGATAGTCCTAAAGAAAAACAAATTACTCAGTGGTTGTGTGGGCAGCTTGACATAATGATAAGAATAGGCAGATCCCTATGGGTGGTGCCTTAAGGATGTCAAGGATAACAGTGGAGCCACATCAGACATATTCTGCAGGGAGAATCGTCTCATTAGATTTGTACTTGTAAATCCCAAACTAGATTTGGAAGGATGTTGCTGCCCTCTAGTGGTGGTGTATTTTGTCACATTACATAGAGAGGTTAGTTTATGTAGACTAATTAATACTAGATTAAGAATGACCCTTTTCGGGTTTACATAAACTTTTTTTTTTAAGTATTTCCAAAATAAATTTTCCAGATTTTTGTAAAAAACGAATAAGTTAAACAGTGCACTCCTAATATATTTTACCAGTGCTTCCTAAGAAAGGAAGGGGAACATTTCAAAATCATAATTCAGTATTGATTTAGATTTTTTTAATGCACGTGGATCAGAAACATCATATTTTTTTTTAAAAATACTTAAAATAAAGTTAAAAAAACTAAGCTTATTTTGCAGATGTGTGTTTGATGTATTTTATTTAACGCTATTAGATGCACCTTCTATTTTGTGTTTATTTCTAAAAATAATCTAAAATAGTTCAGTGTTTCAGAAATAAACAAAAAAAAAAAAATAAATAGAGATTTTTTTCTATTTAGCTCTTCATTCCCCTTTGGTATTTCTCATATTTTTTATGAAGATCAGATACTTACAATAAAAAAAAAAAATGCTTAAAACCTCTGTATGTATTAGTACAAAAAACAATGTGTAGACATGCAAAACCTATTCACAGAAAATAGACAACTATTGTTCTACAGAAGGGCTACACAGCCCAGCAATTTTTAGAGTTTGGGGTAAAATAATAGTTTTTTTTCTGGGCTTAATGTGAATTTATTTTTGGTAGAAACTGTATTCCTCCTGATGTAACATCTTGACTTGAAACATTACATTTCTATTTGCATGTTTTTTTGTGTGCAGATATTTATACAGATGAGATTATACATAACTGTAGTTCTGAATATTATTATCATGCCTTGATTGTGAAACCCTGTGATTCACAGTTTACACAACCATGTGTTTCTGCAGTCGTTGTGCAGTATTCCAGCTCAGACGTGGCAGTACTTTCTTTGTTAGTTACTTTTGCAGAGCTTAGAGCTCACCGGTTGGCAAAATGTAAATTGCAATCGAACTACCAGCTACTAACTCAACAAAAACTATTTTTAAATTGGACAAATGTTTGTTTGTTTTCCAGCAAAAACATCATTAGGATAAATGCCTTTTGTAATTTTATTGCAATATGTTAACTGAGCCAATGCCTGCTTCACAATGTATAGACCCCCTGTTTTGCACAGCAGTGTTTATGTACAAGACTTGCTAAAAGGATCACTATTTAAATCCCCTATCTTACATTTTCCTATATGCAATAATGAATAAAGTCCTTTATATTTTGGGATATGAAAAATTTAGTCCAAGAATGACTCTGCTTAGCTGCCATGCAGCAGTGACTAATTTAGGGAGTGACTATTTCTATCAATTTAATTTCTCATATAATATTTTAATATATTTCTGGTTAATAATTCCTGTACCAGAATTCTTTGTGAAAAGTGGTTATGGTGTCTACTGACTCCAGATTCCCAAGGTTCTGTTGCCCAATAAAATATGTTTAGTGCGTTAATTCTTCAACCAAGGGAGTTGAAGGATTACACATTGCTAATACAGATGTTACCATATACCTGGAGTATCCCATATTAAATGTAAAATTCTATCACATTCTATTCATCCTCCCTGGAGTGACCTGGGTTGGAAGTAACTTTAAAGATAAAAGCATCTCTCTGGATTTAATCTTTTGTTTAGCTGAATTAGTCAGAGCAGAAGGACAGTCTTAAGAACATTTTCTCCTTAATTTATCTTGAAAGGTAAAACTACTAATACAAGAGATAACAACTAATTGACCCATCCAGTGTGTTCACTCTGAAACCTCATGCGTAAACAGACAGGCAATGAAAAAATGCCATTTCATTCTGGCATATTTGTTTTAGTTTAATTTAGCAGGATAATTTGTTTGTAGTTGTCCAGTGCCAAATAATGTAATTACTGATTAGCACAGGAGATAATTGAAATTTAAAATACAGAGCACTGAATCAAATAACTAGCTTAGGGAAGGAGATAACAAATTACTAAACGTCTTCAACTAACAGAAAGACATCTATTATGTGGGAAAATTGGATTACAATCCGCATAAATTCTGATTTCTTTTACAATCGGTCATTTGTTTCATTTACTTGTAAAGCATTTGTCAAATAAAAAAAGATGAGATTATATTGCATTTTTGATATTTTAGTGATTTCTTTATTACACAAGTATTTTAAGTTCCAAATTAAATGATTTTCAAATGCTTTTCTTAACTGTCTTGTTCAATTATTTTGAGTGAAATATAGTCCATGCATATTGCAGGGCAACTGTCAAATCAATGTAGGTTTTGTTGCCCCTTTGTTTTAGCTAGAGGTGTGTAATAATCCTCTAGAATGTAATCTCATTGAGCAGGGCCCTCCACCTCTCTGTTCCTGTATGTCCAGTTGTCTGGTTACAATTACGTGTCTGTTAGTCCACCCATTGTACAGCGCTACGGAATCTGGTGGCGCTATATAAATAATAAAATAATAATAATAATAATAATAGTGAGGTTTAATTCAGGCGAGGAAAGTTATACTCAAGAGAGCTTACAGTCTAAAGGTGATACTGACTGCAAATTGAAGTGTTGATATTCTATATAAATTAGGTAGAGTAGGAGTGTCCAACTGTAACTTCTTACATATGTACTTTCAAGCCATTTCCCTTAACGCCTTGCAGGCCTGTGTCTGAGCTGGGGGAGCACAGTTTGACACCTCTATAGAATAAAAATGTACAATTTCTTTACTTATTTCAATGATCATTAGCTGATTAATGTCTGTATATTAGTAACAGACAAGTGCTCTCATAGATGTTTTTTTTATGAGTGAGCATGCATACAAACATTTTATATTGCTAATTAAAAAGTAGTTTGTTATAGTTTAGTTTTTTTATTCTGCTTGGTACACAAAAGCTAGGATGCACAGTTATTTATGAAAATATAAGCACTGTACATATATCAGTATAGATAATAAAACAGATACCGAGATTAAAAGTTAGAATTGAGAGTCTCATGTTATTCCTGCCCAGAATCCCTAGCTGCAGTGTATGTAGTACCAATCTGCTGCCTTATCTTGGGTGTGGAGTTAGCAAAACAATACATTGCTGATAAAACTTTCTGCTTCATTTTTTAGTTGCCAAAATGCCATGGCATATGCTCTGTGGAATATGTTGGAGTTTTATATAATATAATATCCAATGTACTGAGTCCATTTTATCCTGTTTTCTATATGACAATGGTTGATTAATGTGGCCCTATACCACCACGACATAATTTGCAGCAGTAAAGTTGGAATATGAAGAGCTCTAACGACCTCTAGTGGTGCTTTGTACACTTATCACTTAACTTATTTGACTCGGATAAATGTTGGGTATAGGCAAGCCTTGCTTAGTAGACAACTGTATGTCTTGCTTTTTGCATGGTTTTGTTGTTTGCATGTCCCAAAGTGAAATTTCAATAAGATCTATTTTTAAAATATTTGTGTCAATCACTTGCTCCAGGATGAAGTTTTCATATGGTACAGGTCTACGAACAGACTACATGTCTTTTCGTCCATCCACTGTAAAGCACTGCGAAATTTGATGGCGCTATATAAATAATAACATGATAACATAATAATAATACGGAATTTGCTGTTGCTATATAAATAATAATATAGGATATATAAAAACACAGGTTAAAGCTCAGTACAGATCCTGCTATACACAATCTTTAAGAAGCAATATGGATAACACAAAGATATCTGCATTCAATAAACAATTTAATTCTGTCTGTCAGCCTGATGTGTCTGATGCTATGGGCCAATAAGTGACACACATAGAAACTATTTGTAATCAATAGATGGGGCAGATTTATTACTGGATCAAGTGCTATTGTAGAATTTTCATTAGTATTTAGAAATGAATAGTACTGGTGTAAACATTAATTATATTTTTCACATTTATTGGGCAGATTTAGATATATATATATATGTTGTCACAAAGGTCTGTAATGCTGGCAACACAGCCATTTTAAGTGTAATTGTTAAATTTTTATCATCCAGTTTATATTAACTTCTACAAAATGAGTAACATTTTTAAATGCAAAGCATTAACCATAACATGTCTGACACCACTAGTAAAGCAGTCTCAATCCATTTTCAATCAACCAATTATAGTTCAATGTTCAATCAATGTATATATAGAGGGATTTCTACAACAATTGTATCCATCTACCCCCACCCACCATCACTTCACAGATAATGAGTTGCATCATTGCATCTTTAAGACATGACCCCCACAGGGTAGAATGTGATAAAGATTTAAACATGGAATCTCTTTGAAGTCTCTGAGACTAGATTCATTAAAGGGCAAATATCTTGCCATATGGCAGCAATTATCTGTATTTTCGAAACTTTTCCCCAGTTCGTGAAGGGTTCTAATCCCCTCTGGCAGCTAAATGGTTAACAGGCTTTTTGAGACATTCAAAAAATATTTTTCATGTGGTGGAAAGTTACACCCATCTTCATCCAAGCAATTGGCCAAAGTTAACTAATTATATTCTTTGTTTTCTGTGTACATGTCTCTGTTTAATGTTCCAGCTCTCTCTAGCTCCCTAGTCATCTCTTAGCTCTCCCTTACATGGTCTCATCTTCAGTAGTGCGCCTGCTATGATAACTTTACCTTTCTATTAAATATTGCTGTTATTATGAAACATATCAGCTACTGCGTTAGCTCTAAGCACACAGTGTGCACATGGTTAAAAGATCAAGATACTAATAGACTCCAACCATGTCACTTACTCCTGACCCACTATTAGCTCTCAGCACACAGTGTACACTGGCTTAAAGCAGCAGGATACTAACAGACTCATTACGTATGCAGCTGGCGATACAAGTAATCTGCAGTGGTAATTTTTAGCCAAACAAAGTAGCAGACATGGTTAACAGAAGCAGCCATCATTACAAATGAAACCAGATTGAAATCAGAAACAGTTCAGTCCTCAGAGTCACAGCCCCAGTCCTGCAGTTTGAAGCTTCACAGCTTTTCAGTTTGCCATAGTATGAATGTCTCAGGTCTCAGCTGTAGAGTGACTGAGCACTTTAAAGAAGATGAAGGGTATGTGCAGTAGGAGCTATTAAAACAATTAGTGACAGGCGGCATAGTGCTGCTATGGACAAGCCTCCACTGTCCCTTAGACTGTGAGCTCAGTTGAACATGGCTCCCCAACACCATTTGTTCCTGTACATCCGACTTGTTTTGTTGCAGCTACTTTATTGTGAGTCCACCTATTGTACAGGGCTGAAGAATATGTTAATATAAAAATGACAATAACAATAAATGGACAATAATTACATTACATGTATGGCAGAGTGAATTCATTAGAGATGTTACTTTCTGGGACAAAGTACTAATATTGGTGCAGAGAAGTTACATTCCTCTGGTTTCCATGGTGATTGCACTGCAATTACTTTAATTTTGTAACGTGTACTTTATGCAAACTCTCTTTAAAGGTTTTAAACACTTATTTTTGGCCCATGTTTTTGGTGGTCATTTTCAGCTCAGATATATGTGTATATTACAAATACATGATGATGTGCATTAGATTAATTGATCTTTTGCTGGCTTTTAAGAGCAACTGCTGTTATGACAGCAACATCCTTTGTTTACCATGATGTGTCTATCATCTTAGTTTAATGGCAACTGCGGAGACAGCATGCTCTACCAAACCATCTTTAGTTCAAGAGATGGTGAAATGTAGCATACTGCTCCATTACTGTCTACATTGGACATTGTAAGGTTTTATTCTTTGTATGAAGACCAGTGTTCAGATATAAAGCACTCTAGCATGGGATTGCCCAGATACTAAAAATCTAAATATATTTATTTTTTACACACATGTTTTTATTCTTATAGAAAAACAACATCATTTATAAGTTATTTTGTAAAAAATCATTGGTTGATATGTAATATATTTGTATTCATCTTGATTGAGCTGTGTAATGTTTGTAAAGGAACCTAAGAGCTCAGTGCTGAATAGAACATAAACTACAAATGTCCCTATTTAACTATATATTTAGCATATGGTTTTTGCTTTAAAATGTGTCAATGAATGCTTTTAGTTCAATTGTAATAACCAAACGCCTAGATATTTTTTCATCATGAATATTTCTTTAATTAAATACAATGTTACAGTTTCTCAGTTGATTTTTGTGCTGTGCTTTGAAAAAATAATTCCTATTTTTCTAACTTATTAACATTATTTTGCTATAGGAATCTGGAACAAAAGTGTGTTTTTGTACAGAGCCATCTATTATGTGATATTATACTGTCTAGACAGAAAGACAGTGTAGGTAGTTAACAATTACACCACAACCTTTTGGCCTTTTTTGTTAATATTGTCAGGTTCCCAGCCAGTTCTTTACTGCGAGCGGTGGCTTTTGGGTAACTGCGCGCCGCTCACTGCAGCTTTGGTGTCCCGTGTCCAGCTCGTGGCGGCTTCACCCTCCTCCTCACTGCTCACGGCAGCTTCCGCTCGCACTTCTCCCCTCACCATATTTAAATAGGCGCCCGAGTCAGCCACATGACTCGGCACACAATAATGATGTCACACCTCACAGTGGAAGGACTAAATACCTTCCACGTGTTGTAATCAATTCTATTTGGAAGTTAGCCAATCAGAATTGCCCTAAGCATTTATAAACTTACCTCTCCTATGTCTCCTTGCCCTGTTGTGGTCTTTATTATCCCAATAGCGCGTTACATTGTGTCTGGATTATTTGGTTACCAAACTTTGTCTTGTTTTACGTTTACTCTGTTTTCTCTGATTCTTGACCTCAGCTTGTCTCTTTGTATTCCGTCTTTCTCTTATCCTTGACCTCAGCTTGTATTCTTACTATTCGATCTCTTTGCATAGCCCTGCCATTCTAAGGACCGGTATTGCAATTCTGTGTGTCTGTGACCTGTCTGCGTGTATAGGTTCCCCTGACAACCATGACAAATATGCTTTGAAAGTGCAGCCATTTTCTGTAGATATTGACTCCATTTTGTGCCAGAGATGTTAAAATATTATCCAGCAAAATGTAATGTTGTTACAAAGGTGTGACAGATACTTTATCATTAATATTAGGAAGAAAACTTACTATTACTTTTTATCATGGAGTTAGGCTTTGATGATTATTTTTTTCAGAATAATTTGCAAGTTTACTATGGGCTCTGTTTAGTTATTCACTGGGCCTGGAGTTTGACCGGAGTTTATCCAAATTCACAATTCTGAATTAATTCTGAATATAACAGAGCAAATGACAGGAGCATCAATCAAGGCTTTCACTAAAGTGTGATTTGTCAGAAATTCAAGCTGTATACAAAGCGGATTTAAACATCTAGGTAGAAAAAAAAAATGAACTAAAAATAATCTCCAAGTCAGTTATGCTTTCAGTTTGGCTATTTGTCTTAAAATTTGAAATACACATTGAATTTCTTACGGTTTACACTTTAGAGAATAACATTCCAAAAAATGTTTTTCTTAAAATGATTAGCATTTTCAACAACCAACGGGCCCTGTGCATGCTTTTTTTTTTAACTTAATTAACAATGGAAAGGTAAAGCAGAATCTTGGAATCAGTGATTTCTTAATATCCTGTAGAAACACAGAACAATTAAAATGCTACAGTAAAAAAAAATAATTTATAATCTTTTTTCTTTTCTTTTTCCAGTTTTCAGCCACCATGGAACATGTCATAAGGACATCCCTTATTTTGGGATGTCTTCTAATGATTGGTAAGAACATTCATTATTTTAATCATTCTTTCCATAGGCTTTTTTGCATTTTTTACATATATGTTCATATGCACGATTCAGATGGCAACAGTCATGCTAAAGCCTCCGAGACTTACTGTGACAAAATCATGGTGCTGTTTTATGAATGACCTTATACCCAATTGTACAGCTCTACGGAATCTGATGAAGCTATATAAATAATAAAATTATAATAATACCGTTTTACACGACTTTCCTTGCTTTCTGCTACTCTGTATTTATCAATATCTTATATTTATCTTCTTTTTGTATCTTTTTTTCAAATAATTATTTTACATCTTTCTTTCTGTCAGTGACTATATCCTGTATCTAGTCTCTAAAGACAGATTTTGAGCTTTGTTATTTTTTTTTCTGCTGTACAGGTCCATGGTCCATCAGCAGTGAACACCCGTTACCATCAATATTCCCAGAAAAAGAAGACATGGTCGAACAGTTGTATTCTTCCTTTATGCTCAAGTGCTCTAGCGAAAGTGAGCTGAGCTGGGACTACCCAGAGTCTGAAGATGATAGTGGCAATGTAGATATTTGGAGTGAAGAAAACAACAGTGGCTTGTTTGTCTCTGTACTTAAAGTCCACAATGCTTCTGGTATAAACACAGGACTATATACATGCTACCACAACCACACTCAGATAGAGGACTACGATATTGAAGGCACCAGTATATATGTCTATGTTCCAGGTCTGTATACTACTGCTCTACTAAACATTTTTACGCCTCATTAATGAGCGTTTTATATGAGAATCAGCTGAGATTCACCCCTCCAGCTTCTTTAGGCTTGGTATCCGTTTGTTATAGACCTATATTGTCTTAGCACTGAAGGATACATTTTAGACATGCTTTGGGAAACTCACAAAATCCCAGATTTTTAGACAATTAATTATATTATTTTGTTTCTGCAGAAAGGAAGTGGTAATGAGTCATTAATCTATAAAATGATGCTTTGGTTACAGCAATGTTAGATATATCATGTAACTGGTAACCAATACTTTCTTTGTGATTGTACAGATCCATCGATGGCCTTTGTCCCCTCCATGATGCTAGAGCATATAATTGTGGTAGAGGAAAGAGATTCAGCAATTGTCCCATGCCGCACCACTGACCCCACCAGCCAAGTGACTCTAAGAAATCAGGAAACCCTCAGGACAGTCAACGCCTTTTATGACAGCAAGCAAGGGTTTGTGGGAAACTTAACAGGAGTATACACCTGTGAAACAAAAGTCAGTGGCGTGACGTTTACAACTGAGCCCTTCATCGTGCAGAGATGGAAAGGTACTTGGAATATGTGTTGTAACATTACAGCTCACTTACCCGTGGTGTTATATGGTCCTCCAAACATTGGAATCACGTCTCAAAATTTTATTTTGTCACTAGCTATTGGCAAGTGAAAATTCAGCTCAGGCAAGTAAAAATTCACCCCTGGTGACACAGTTTCTCCGGGCTTTTAATGGCTAATAACGTGTGATGGCTTTTTTAAAGCTCTGATTGGAATGAAACGTTGCAGACCTACACTACTAGAATGATAGGCCATTCACTTAAACTGTCTTGTGGATACATAGAAACATAGAATGTGACGGCAGATAAGAACCATTCGGCCCATCTAGTCTGCCCAATTTTCTAAATACTTTCTTTAGTCCCAGCCTGATCTTATAGTTAGGATAGCCTTATGCCCATCCCACGCATGCTTAAACTCCTTTAAATAAGAGGCACTATGCTAGAGAATTTATGTTCTCCATGAAATAACAAAATGGGTGGAGTGCAGTGAAAGACAAATGGCTGTTACTATTACTTGAGTCTAAACTGCGGACTAGAATCTACTTTGAGAAATTAAAGTGCATAACTCTCTAGACTAATTAATCTCTTCATTTAAAACAGTGTGTCTAAAATGTTACCAGCCATCATTCTTGTTAAATGCTTTCATAATGTTTAGAAATACAATGTTTAAATATAACTTTTTTCAATCTATAGATATATTTCAGCATTTTAGAAATGGCTTTCTCATAACAAGGGATTATAGCCCTTCTAAACAGATACAGAAACATTTGGACTATTAATTCATTTAACATGGACACTGAGCCTTAACTTAATAGCTTTCATGGAATTATGGAAATTCACTCAATGTATTCCTGATTTAGTTATTGCGTATTATAGTTGACATATTTTACCATAATCTGTATGTAATGTATTCTTGTTTTAGCTATTCAAGACTTTCGTGTCGAGATGAATGCTCCAAAAACCGTTTTCAGATCTGGAGAAACCATCACAGTTTCATGTAATATATTAGACATTGAGGTGGTTAACTTGCAATGGACTTACCCTGGAGTACAGGTAAATAACACTTCATTTCTTGGTTCCCATATTTCCTTTTAACCTTTACCTTTATATTAATATAATATGTAATAATATAAATACTTAGTAAGCTCTTTGGGTCAGAAATTAGTTATTCATTGCCTATTCTTCCCAAAGAATTTTACTGGATAAATGATATTCTGTTTTGGGCCAAGAACAAGAATTTACTTGTCCCAATATTTGTGTATTGTGTAGAACACTTAACCTAGCATATAAATGACCTTCAGCTATGCGCAACTTACATTAATGAAATTCCATTATTAAAATGTAACTGTCACCGTGTGAATGTAAAATATGTAAATCAAACATCTTTTTCTGCAGGCTACATATTATAACGTCTCACTTGTAATAGATGGTATATACCGTAGGTGGACTGTGTTTTATGAAAACACACCTAGTGATAACAAACAGAAGATATATGAGAACACTGAGAATGGGCAAGAACTTAATTGTTTGCCATTTGGGTCACACTCAGGTCTCAAAAATTTACCGGCATTTCTGATATGAATCACCCTTTGGAGCAGTCAGATGTGTGTCCGACTTGGATTTCCTCTGTAATAGCACACATGAGCAAAATCCTAATTGAGACCCAAGCAGGGAGTAACTGAAGTTTTTGCCAACTCTTAGTGCTCTCATATCTTACATTTCTTTTTGTTTCAATGCATTTGCTTATGGTCTGAATACATGCAGAATATTCACTTAGAATTCTCATACAACAGTAACTAATCAAACCTTTTCAGGCTACTTTTAAACCATTTTAATAAACTGGAACAGGTTTTTGAAATGAAACCAATGAAAAAAAGGAATTTTTAACTTTAATAAACCCCCCCACCCACCTTTTTATGTACCTTGTCATTCTTCAAAAATGTGATCATTTATAAAATGCTTTCTGTTTTATCTTGCTAATTACAGAGAGGGGCTGGTTTTACAAAGGTTGTAGAAACCAAGAAGCCATATCAGAAACTGGAATACACGCTATCTATCCCCAACGCTACAGTGGAGGACACCGGGGAGTATGTGTGCGCGGTTAACCATGCAACACAAGATACCAAAGAAATGAAGAAGGTTACTATGACTGTGCATGGTAAGAAAGACTTGATCATTGTAAGATAGAATGCAAAGGAATTTTGAGCATCGAGAATTAAAGCTTGTCTCAGACAAAGTCATCTCTGACACTACTGATGTTGTTAAAGATGAAATGTCACTCAGAGAAGTGACAGTCACACAGAGAAGTGACCATACTTGGTTCCTTCATCCCAGTAAACAGCATTTTAGTATTTACTGTCTGAATAGAGCAGCAATAGAGCTTCATTTTTGTGTTGCAGTGTCATTGTAACCCTCTATGTCTCAGGTGCAAACATGCATGTTCGGGAATCAAAAGGAGATATTCCATATGGGCCCATATGCTATGATTTTTCTATAGCAGTGCCATATACACGTGTTCTTTGTGTACTGAACTATTATTATTATTGCCATTTATATAGTGCCAACAGATTCCGTAGCACTTTACAAAATTACAAGAATTAACTAATTTGCTGACCTTGGCCTTGACCTTGGCCAACAAAGTATGTAAGTTAAAATAAAAAGAAAGAGAAATGGAAAAATACATTCTAGCACAACCAATATTTACTTTTGGTTAACTATTTGGTTGTGATAAAACTGAAGAAGTAGTTCCTCTTTAAACCTAATGATATTGAGTTAAGAATCATAGAATCAGGAGACAATAAGTCAGAAATACATATGGACAAGCATCCTTGAGTGGTCCTACACAGAATGAACGATATACACAAACTATACGTCATTCCCCTTTGCTACTAAAATAAGGATGTTTAAACAATGACTGTTTCTTGTAACTTCTAGAGAAAGGATTTATTGATCTGAAACCTAATTTTCAATCACTGGAATATGCAAATCTTCATGAAGTTAAGAGCTTCTCCATTGACCTACATGCATATCCAGCACCAAAGGTCTTCTGGTTAAAAGACAACAGCACCCTAAGTGATAATCTGACAGAGATTACAACAAGCACTGTAAGACTCCAGGAAACCAGGTACGCAAAAAGCACTTTTGTTTTATTCCATACATGTCTGTCTCAGCTTTTCAGCCTTTAAAGGGAAAAAAAATGAATACCAGTAAAGGAGGAAGTTATAACAGAACATTCTGATGAGTAATACATCTCAGAAATATTTAGACACATGAATTTAATCACTAAATAGGCAAATGTTGTGTGGAACAATTAAAGAGACACTATAAGCACCAAAACATCTTTAGATTAATTAAGCCGTTTTGGTGTATAGATCATGCCCCTGAAGACTCCCTGCTCAATTCTCTGCCATTTGGGAGCTAAATCACCTTTTCTATGCAGCTGTAGTAACACCTCCTCTGGCTGAGACTCACACATCCTACATGCAAAAAGTTTTTTTTTTAAATTGTGTTATAACATTTCAAGACTATAGATTCAATAGATATGTTCAAACCTCAAAAGTACTTATGTACAAATGTTGTTTTATTATTTTAATTAGCTTTAAAATAATTACGTATACCATATAGCATGCATTCTCTTTATCAGAATATTTCAATTATTATCATTTTTTATTATAAATCAAAGTGGATACAATTGTCATCTACTGTAGGTTCCAGAGTAAATTGAAATTAATTCGTGCCAAAGAAGAGGACAGCGGCGTATACACTCTTGTGGCCCAAAATGATGCTGAAACTAAACGTTATTCCTTTGAATTACAAATAAAAGGTGACAACATATTAATTATCTCTCTCTCTCTCGCTTTCTTATTTTATTTTTTTATGTTAAATTATAATTAAACACAGATTCAATTAGGCAAACATGCCATTTAACAGCTATCAGTTTGTTTCCATTAAACCTGTAGCTTTATTTAATTAATATTTATTACAACAACTACACTATATTCTTATTACTATAACCTATGTGTTTCTCTGGTTGTAGCTACGAGCCCTATTTTTGAAAACTATTTTAGGCCACATTGAAAAATATATTTTCTTCAATGTGTGATGTCAAAGTAAAAATTTCGTGCCCCTTTTTTTATTTTTTAATTCTGTTACATACCTAATTCATAGTTTGCTTTTATTTTTGTAGTTCCTGCATTGATCTTGCAGTTGTTTGATGACCACAATGGTTCTTCTAGTCACCAGACTGTTGGGTGTCGGGGCAAAGGTATGCCTGTTCCGGATGTGGAATGGTTAGTTTGCAAGGACATTAAGAGGTGAGAAAATAATACTTTTTGAGTCCCAATGTGCTGTTATACGCAACATAATATGGTAGTAATAATGCATATCTTGTTCTTCCCAGATGTAATAATGATACCTTTTGGTCAACTCTGGTTCTTAATGGATCGGAAATCAGCATGGAGACTCATGTAATGGAAGAGAACTCAATAGAAAGCAAAGTCACATTCAAGAACATAGATGAGACACTGTCAATCAGATGTATTGCAAGGAATGACCTTGGTGTTGATGCTAGAGAGATGAAATTAGTAGCACCCAGTAAGTATTAAGTAAAACATACGATTTAAATAGTTTTCAGGCAAATCTTCTTGTTGACAAACCTTCCTCTTGATTTGCAAACAAAGGATGTGATGCATCAATAGTGTCAAGTATGCCATAAATTTGTGATAATATTACATGGGGATAGAGAATAATTTCAGTACTGCAGTGGCATGTTCTTTTTTGTCATAGAATCCAGCAATTCAATATATTATACCATCAGTTTAAATTTTGTTAATGAAGTAGAACTAACCTGTCAACATTTCACAATGTGCCCCTCACCCACCTCTCTGAAGCGTCTATTTGGAACTTCAGATGATTTGCAGTTTTAACTATATTCATTGCCCGAACAAAAATGTGACCTTCCCTAGTGATACATTCCAATATAACTTTCTTTATCAAATTTGTTAAAAACAGGAAATTTGATCTAGGAGATGGATTGTCTGATGCATTTCACGCAATAATTTGTTGCTCTTTTCCCCTTATTTCCAGTCTGCCAATACTGGATATGTAAATATTGAATTAGGTTTCCTGCCAGACATTTCTGGTCCCTGGGTCTGTTAACTTTGGCAGAACATATAGTCAACATTTTAATAACTTCTGTCAAAATTGTGAAAAGATAGTTTCATGATTGTTTCTAAGTACATAGATAAATAGATGGGTAGATTGTATTGAGGAAAATAATACCGTTGTAATTTAATAACAAAAAAATGCAAATTTGCCTTACATGTAAAATAAAAAAATATATATTTTTTTGCCTCACATCTATCCATCTTTCTTATTTTAAAGGTTTTATTTTTAGTTTTTTAATTAGAATATCCTGTAATGGTATTTAATTTTCTGTGTTAAATATTCTGAAAATGTTTCCATCCTTTTTCAGCCCTACGTTCAGAGCTAACAGTGGCGGCCGCAGTTCTTGTTCTGCTTGTTATTGTCATCATATCCCTCATTGTTCTTGTCATCCTATGGAAACAGGTATGAAATAATGCTATGCTTGCTTTGTATCCTTATATATGGTTATAAATGTAAAGAGCCATTTTAAAGCTTGTCTCTCCTTTTCAGAAACCAAGATATGAAATTAGATGGAGGGTCATTGAGTCTATCAGCCCAGATGGCCATGAGTATATCTATGTCGACCCAATGCAGCTACCTTACGATTCACGGTGGGAGTTTCAAAGAGATGGACTTGTTCTCGGTAAGAGAAGAAGAATGAAATATTCATACTTTGTAATCATCAAATACTTGGACACATTATGACCTATGTCATTCATGTACAGTGCCTGTTAAACTCTTCCTTGCCCCAAGCACTTGTACGAATGAGAATAAGCATAATCCCAATTTTAATAAATAAGGTTATCAAATAGACAATAGCAGGAAATATTATTACTATTGGTACTATTTTGAAAGATTAGTAGCTGTCACAAACTATAAAGACAAGACGTCTAGCATGTTTCACAGCTATGCAGATCACATAGGTATGTTTACTTTATAGTAAAAAATTGTGCATGTCTTCTCTATAACCCCAATGTACTGCGAAATGCTATGCCTGAGGATTGCTATTGGGGTACCTCACACCTGTCTGTTATGCCTCTATGCACAGCAAAAATACAAAATTAAAAATAAAATTAAAAAAAAAACTATACAGACAAGACATTGTTACTAATCATATGTGCAAATTGTCTGTTTATGTGAGCTTACAATGATCATTGGTTAAATTAATATTCAATTTAATGACGACACAAATGTACCCATTTTTATAATCTTAAGTGACTTAAGTAGACTTTCTACAAATAAATAATACCATTTGCCAGCAACTTAATATTTGCTATGATATTTCTGTTATTTTATGAACACTGTGTTGGAGAAAGAATCGTATTAAGAGCACTTTGCATAATAATAATAATAATTTCAGATTTATTAGTTCTTATTTTAGGTAAATTATGTTTTTGTTATTTTGTCTGACATTGTGTCACTACAACGTTTTGAAGAACAGGAACAATCTAAACCTTAGCTAAATGGGGGAGGAGGGCTGCCACTGTCCATTAAAACATTCATTCCCAATTGCCCTATGGTGGTTTAGAAGAGATTTTTCAAAATTCCACTCTGGTATGGTCAGGGAGTGAATGGTCTGTACGTTATAGTGCTTAGAACATTCTCATAAGAGCAGTCTCATCATACTATCAGTCTGCTGCTTAGTGATGAATTTGCAGATGGTGGTAGTGTTGTAGGGGAAGATTTATCAAGGTAAAAAGAGTCGCAATTCTGGAGCAAAGTGTAAATAAGGACTAATCAGCATGGAAACTAGTTGAATGTTTCATTTACCACTTTGCATAAATAATATTTAATTTGATACCTGTTGCCTATAGTGTTGGAGCTGACATTTTTGCATGGATATATTTGCAGCTAATTTTCTACGAAATGATTCATCGTTGACATCACATGACACTGGTGTCAGGAAGTCAGCACAAGTGTAGTTATATAGTATGTTCGGTGATTCTTATAGATGCTTGTTCCCCTAATGTTAGATCCAACCTAAATCCAGTTTAATACTAATTATTGGGGCACTCATGTCTTGAGACTTACAATGAAGGATCTTATTTTTCTGTGGTATAAATTTTACTGCAGAGCGAACAGGTCTAAAGAATACTTTTTAATGTGCAGGTCGAATCCTCGGATCTGGAGCATTTGGTAAAGTAGTAGAAGGTACCGTCTACGGACTAAGCCGTTCCCAGCCAGTGATGAAAGTAGCAGTAAAAATGTTGAAACGTAAGTAGCTTTTGATTATGATTATCAAATAACACTGTGGGACTGTAAACTTATAGATCGATAACATTTAGATTTAAATATGCTTTTTGTGATCTGTCTTTGTGGCTGGTTATCTGTGAATTACAGCGAGATGACATATTGTCTCATTGTTAAATGAGAAAAAATATATATTTTCTCTTCTTTTTCTGTCAGAACCTTGTTTAATAATTTTTGCTATTTCATTCAATAGCTACTGCTAGATCAAGTGAAAAGCAAGCCCTCATGTCTGAGCTGAAAATAATGACACATCTTGGTGCACATCTGAATATTGTGAACTTATTGGGAGCATGTACCAAATCAGGTATGTCATCAATGGTATACCACCATTATTCTTTTTTATTATACTATGTCCACAGTGTACATTTTAATAATTAATTTTTTTATTTGCTCTACAAGGTCCAATTTATATTATTACGGAATACTGCTTCTATGGAGATCTCGTGAATTATCTTCACAAGAACAGGGACAATTTTCAGACTCGGCACCCAGACAAACCAAAGAAAGATCTGGATATCTTTGGGTTGAACCCAGCTGATGAAAGCACAAGAAGGTATGGTCTCAAGCACATTTTTTGCTTATTATATTATAAAATTATTCTCCAGAAAATTAAATCTTAGAGTCTGTTTATTTTCATATTTTCTATTTTTTTTTTCTGTGATACGGAAATGGCTTCCAAAAAGAGTGATATCCCATTTGGTTATTCCAGTTCTATCTTTCAATATAAATATGTGCAAGAATCAAAACTCAGCCCTGTGATTAGAAATTCACCTTTTGAGGGTGTGCTATGAGTTGCAGTGGCAAATAACTTTCAAGGCCTGGCTAGTAGCCTAGGACAAAATTAAGCCCTGAATATGTGACCTATACTATCACTTTACTCTTTCCCCTCCCATCTCTTTGATGATATTATTATACACAGTATTTGCAGGGTAATTAAGAATATTTCATTATGTGTGTATTTATTTATATTCTAGCTATGTCATCTTATCCTTTGAAAACAATGGAGACTACATGGACATGAAACCTTCTGACACCACACAATATGTACCAATGCTTGAGATGAAGGAAGCCTCAAAGTATTCTGATATTCAGAGATCTTTATATGACCGCCCTGCATCTTACAAGAAGAAGCCTATGTCAGGTAAGGGATAAGTTACATGCATTGATAGAGCTATTGTCTGCACTGCAGTATATGATATAGATCGTATTGTTCCAGCTTCAGTAGGTAAGATAGAGCCATACAATGCGGAAGAATGGAAATTAAAAATTAGCAGTGGGGCAGCTAGTACAGGTTGATTCATATTACCATTTTGGTTGGTTATACCGGATAGAGTTATCCACCATAATCTTGAAACAGATTAAGATTTTGAGTGTGGAGGAGCTGTCATTAGTGCACTGATCTTTATTATAGAATAATAGAATGCTATACAAAGTGTGATGTGTATAAAATAGTGGATGATAGAAAAGTGGTACAAGTGGAGGAATCTTGTTTGCAACCAAGACCGTGTTCCCGCTTTTGTTATCAGCATCAATGTCTCAATGCTTTTGAATTGATTTATGTTTCTATTATCCTATATGTTAGCCTCTAAATCCATAAAAGGTCCACAGATCCAAACCAGTTGACTGGTTTAGTAAAATTATTACGTATATTCTTCTACTTTTTAATTAGTACTCGAATTGCTACATTTGTCTGAGAAAAGACTGATTTCACAGGAATAAATTGTTATTTTTGTTTTCTGTTTTTCCTATCAGAAGTGAAAAGCATCTTGTCAGATGATGGCTGTGAGGGTCTCACTCTCCTGGATTTGCTCAGTTTCACATACCAAGTTGCCAGAGGAATGGATTTCTTAGCATCTAAGAATGTGAGTGCCAGATAAATATTATTCATGAAGAGTTGAATGTTTCCTGTGTGTCCTATTAAGAGATCACTTAATTCTGTGTCTCGCTTCAGTGTGTACATCGTGATTTGGCAGCTCGAAATGTTCTTCTGGCACAAGGGAAAATTGTGAAGATCTGCGACTTTGGCCTGGCAAGAGACATCATGCATGATTCCAACTACGTTTCAAAGGGCAGTGTAAGTACCATCTCTGCCTTGCTGTTTAATTTTGTGTTATATATAGAGTTTAAAGATTGTAATTATCAGGACCACTAGTTTTGTTGTGACCCAGTAACGTGTGTTATGCATCCATTTCAAAGAACATTACATACCATTTATCTTGCACTTGCAAACCATAAATCATTATTGGGTTTCAGAATGCTTTCCACCACCACACCCAGAGCATCTGTTTGTGATGAGTTCTCTTAAAACTAACCAGCATTGGAATGCTGTATTTTTTGAGATGTTATAGTTATGCGTCAGTCATTCCTGCAAAACATGGTATTTTGTTGTTTTGTGCAGGGATCCTGTGTTATTTTTGATGATTTACTTAGTTAAACATCCTCTAAAGTTTTATGACAAATACTCCTTTTTACATTAAGTTGATATTGGACAACAGACAATGTCGTTGACAGAATGTGTTTCAGCTCAACTTTCAAAAATATGCCCGACATTTTATTCTGCCTGTTGCATCTACATATCTTCCTTAAACCTCAATTCATTAGAAAATAAATATGACAGTATTATTCACTAGTATAAATTGTTGTGAATTCAATGTGAATTTCAAATTTTAGATCAAAACAGGCCAATTAAAAAATAGATTTTTAGTCAGCTATGTTTTTATATTGGCTGTTTTGTCTTATAATTTGATATTCCAGAATCCATTTGAATTTCCCCCAAATTCTAACACTTTAGTAAATAGTTTAATTTGATTTCAAAGTACCCTGAAAAGTGTAACTTTTGTTAATGTAATCTGTATGACAAACTGGCTGCACTAGCTGTTAAAGGTCAACTGAGCAGTTACATTTTAGACAGCAGTTGTCCTCTCTGATTGTTTGAAGTCCAAACAGCCTCAAAGATCTAGAGTGTAAAATCTGAAGATAGATTCCAGGGAATAAACACGTTTTGTAAGGATGTAATTAAAGAATCCTATATAAGTTGCAGAACAGCTATGTATTTATCCTGCACTACATTTACAAGTTTTATCTTTTGCTACAGTGCAGAAAGTAATATTAATTATTTGTTTTTTTTCTGCAGACATTTCTGCCTGTGAAATGGATGGCACCAGAGAGCATATTTGATAACCTATACACAACTTTGAGTGATGTGTGGTCTTTCGGCATCTTGCTTTGGGAAATCTTCTCTCTTGGTGTGTATATAGAATTACACAATATCAAATCAGTATTGAACTATCTGTCTGTACAAAATGTGTTCAGATTTGACAATAAAGTCTAAGAAAGCAGCATTTAGACACATTTCTGTTCTGTCTTATACATGTCCATGTTTCTTTAATATTTTCCTATACCAACAGAATTATTTGGTGCTGAATTTAAACTTTTTAAAAGAGGCTACAACTATAGAGGCCTTAACATTACTATACAAAAAAAGTTTCACCGATAATAAAATGGGTGCTCTAAGCACCATACGTACTGCAGCTCGTTGTAGTGAATATGGGGCAATATTTGGATACCATCCCCCTGTGTATTTTGTCATTCTAGAGCATTCTTGAAAACTGGGGCTCTTCTGGCTCCTGAAACATGGCCCATACTCTTCTTCAAATAATGCAGAATTCTCTCTTCCACATTATCTATCCAATTTCTGACAGCAATATGTTGAATGAGATCACACTTAGCATAATAAAGTCTGTGTCCAGTGAATCATATTGCATGGGCAGTGTATAATGTTATAGTATAACAGTATGGATAATGTTCTTATAGAATGTATTATTGTGTTTTTAGGGGGCACACCATATCCAGGCATGATAGTGGACTCCACCTTTTATAACAAGATAAAAAGTGGCTACAGAATGACAAAGCCTGATCATGCTACACATGAAGTGTGAGTAAAAAAGTGTTTAAAAGTTTAATATAATTACTAACCAGACCAAAACTGCAACGTGAAAATAACATTCACTGAAAGGTCCCTTTTGAATGCACCTTTGCAATAAATATTTATACATATGTGTCTATGTGTTTACTATACTAACAATTAAACCGTGAGGATGTTGAGCTATGAGCTTCTACCCACCTACAGACATTATTCAGATCTCCTCACGGCAGAAAGATTTCTGAAAGGACCTAGTAATAATGCAATGAAAGTTATGTCACAATAATCTGGAACATGGTATACGCTAGACTGATGTCCATGTGTGGCCAACGATACCAATGATACTCTTCCATTGTGTCATTATATCATCTAATAACCTGTCACAAGAATTGTACACGGAATAAGAGGCATAATAATGACAAATTAATTTACACTAACTTTTCTCACTGTTAATCTATAGGTATGACATCATGGTCAAATGCTGGAATAGTGAACCAGAGAAAAGACCTTCATTTGGTCACTTGAGCGATATTGTCGAAAGCCTTCTACCTGGAGAATACAAAAAGGTACCCACACTCTTTATGTTTATAAGTCGACTTCTCTTAATGTAACATGCATACAGTTAGTTGCTATGTAAGCTATTAATGTTAGTAGTTAATAATAATAATCTTCAATATTATTCACTTAAACTGATAAAATACATTTAAAAAAACTATTTGATAGCAGTGCAGATGTCCTTCTTTTAAGAACTCTTTCTATATGTCTTCCATTTGTTTACAATTATATCACTGAGCCACAGTCCATCTATATTACACGTTTAACAATGTTTAGGCAATAAAAAAGTTAGAAATGGTTCTTGAGTCTTTATACAAGAATCAAGTGAACCAGATGTTTATCTATCTTTCTGGTTAAACAAATCTAGATTTGTCAACTTAAGTATTAAAATTAGCTTGAGACTCTAGGTGTAATGGGCCCCTCTTCACATTTGTTCCAAAATGTTCATTGAATAGCTGAATGTTATAGAAGTATCACACACAGTAAAGGGGGACAAAGTTGTGAAAGTTGATATATCACCATGGGACGTAGTAGAATGTTCCTGATGATTCCTCTGGTTTCTGGTTCTCACACTAGATAAGAGATTTATCAAGTTTAATCACTCTCTATTCTGGGTCAAGGTGCTCAATGCCCAAATACATCCTGTTTTCCATGGGATTAGTCCTTATTTTGTAATTTGCTCCAGACTAGTGCCTGTATTTTGTCTTTGTACATCACCCACATTATGTACGATTTGCGTCAATTGATCCCACATTAATTGTTTTCCATTAGGGAGTTTTGGGCTGCCAGGGATCCTCATTCAGTGTTAAAATTTTCAAAAAGCGTTTAACACTTAATGGAAAAACAACGACAGGGGACTCCAGGCACTGTAACTAATTCAATGAGATGAAATGGTTATAGTGCCTATGGTGTTGCTTTAAAAACCTAGCCAAAATTATGGCAAATATTGAACAAGTCAGGAAATACTAGGAAAGTTGAAGCCAGGTATTCTTGAGTGTTACTTGACATAAGCCTGACTACGACAGAGGTTTATGTACCTAAACAAACACTCATGTCCTCTGTAATACTCCTGAGTGATAATAATTCTAAAAATAATAATAATTAAACCACATATTTACAAAACAGATTATTGGTTTCTAGACAGGATAATTTTGCTTAGAAATTACTATGTATTTTAGTTACAATAATAATAACAAATCAGCTGTAGGTACTGTTGAAAGAAAGTCTATGGATAATGAAACCAAACTGGAAAAAACATTGGTTTCAAACTGTAAACAATGACAACTCTTGCTTTTTTTCTTGAATCTGCAGTGTTACGAAAAAATTCTTCATGATTTCCTTAAAAGCGACCATCCAGCAGTTACTCGCATGAGAAGTGACAGTGACAACTCATACATCGGGGTGACTTACAAGAATGAACATAAAATGAAAGACAGGGAAAGTGGGTTTGATGAACAACGGCTTAGTGCCGACAGTGGTTACATTATTCCCCTGCCGGACATTGACCCCGTGTCAGAGGATGAATCAGGGAAAAGAAACAGACACAGGTAAGCAGACATAGCATATGAGAGTTTACCACAGCACTTCAGATGTTCGGAAACAACATTTCCCATGATGCATAGCCAGCATTAAGTACAACTTAGCATCATGGGAAATGTAGACTGCAAGGCAATTGACCGTTCTATGCAGTTAGATGTACATCAGGGTAGACAACATTTGGCACTCCAAATGACTACATTTCCCCTAATGCCAGCATTACAGCTATAAGTACATTATGGGACATGTAGTTCACACATGTGGAGTACTGAAGGTTGCCCACCCCTGTAGATAAACACAGTTTATTCCTCTTGTCAAGCATGATCTCTGCCCTATCCTACAAGTACAAGGGTCAAAAGAAAAATGCTAAATTAAATGATTAAATATTAAATATATATTAAATCCCGATAGTATTGCATTTCCCTGAATGGAATAAAATGAAAAAAATCTCAAAAGCAACTATAAGCCATTGAAATGTGACGCACAGTAATATTTATGCTATGACAATTACATGCAATTTAGCAATAGAAACAAATAAATGAATGCTAATTAATTATAAACTGGCAGAATAGTTAATAAATGTACCTATATTTTCTCTCCAGTTCACAAACGTCTGACGAGAGTGCAATTGAGACTGGCTCCAGCAGTTCCACATTCATCAAGAGAGAGGACGAGACGATTGAAGATATAGAAATGATGGACGACATTGGGATCGATCCGTCAGATCTGGTGGAAGATAGTTTCCTGTGATTCTTTTTTTGATGAATCCGTTTCAGAGATCAAACCATGAATTTAAGAGAGAAAGACTGTGAAGTCCAGGGAATTCTAATATTCTTTTTTTTTTTCATTTGGAAAACCACTTTATTGCGTCGGACAATGTGAGGCGGTGAATTGTTTGCCTCAACAACCACATGGTACTTGTTATGACTTCATAAGTACTCACAGCATATTTGTCAACTGGAATTAATGGTTGTTGCAAAGACCAATGATTTCTAAGCACATCTTTGAACAAGCGGTACATCTTTGCATCTCATCGTATGTTTGTGTTTCCTTTCAATTACATGGACAAATATCAAAACAGTAGCAATGTTTTTCAAGGGCATTCATAGCAACGAGGAACCGAAATCAAATGACTGTTGAATTTCATTATTGTATTTTTGTAAATAAAGAAGAAAAGATGTAAACATATTATATGGACTAACAGAAGAGACCACTCATCGGTCCTGTGTACTTCGTACATCAGCTGCTTTGTTATAACTGTCAAAAGTCTTTTAAACCACTTTGGAAACTATTAAGACTGAAAGAAAGTGCAGAACTTTTTTTTTTTTTTTTATGATCAAAAAGTATTAAGCAAGAGCATTGCAAATAACAGATTGTGGGTCTATGAACTTGTTGTAGTATCCCTTTTGTAAAAGTATTAACATGAATACTAAAATGAATTTTTGATAACCCATTGTAATTGGTTGGTAGTTTAATTGCATTTAACAATCAAATGAATTTGGAAGATTTTATAAACTAACAAGGATTATTAGCATATATTTCTATGGATTAGAATTTTTAATAAGAGCATAGAATTTAGCTAATGTCAGTTAGAAATGTGTTGTTATAGAATTTACTGACCACTATAGGGTTTAGATAACAATGGGATTGTAAGGTACAGTGTGCTTTTTTTCTGTTACAGTAAATACTCACTATTTTTACAATGAAAAAAAAATACATCTAAACGAATAGTCAGTGTTTTGTAAATGACAAGTCACACCTCAGCCTAGTGAAAACTAATTTTAAAAGCAATTTTGCAGAAGTGGTTATTTACGAAAAATGGGTTTTAAAGGAGATTGTAATCTGTTAAGGCGTCACAATCAGAAAAGTGGTACAAAGTTGTAATAGTGAAATAGCCTCCGATGGTTCGAATTTCTTCCAGAGTGAATACACCACTTTTAGAACTTACATCACTTTTAATATGATACATTGATAAATCTCCCTCATTGTGTTTACTGAAAAATACTCTGTGCTTAAATAACAGATAGTAACAACACCACACCCTGGGTTACTAAGACATTCTATATGAGTCTGTATTAACCCATTAGGTGGTAGAATAGTAAGGTAACATGCTGCAAAGCGTTGCAGAGCAAGACAATGTGTTGCACGCAACTCTGACAGTTAAATGGTTAATGGTAATCTGATGACCAAGTGGTTCTCGTGTAATGCACGAGTAATTATATATGAAAAGTATTTAGTTGCAGACTGTTACTTCTTTGAATTCTAAAAAGAATGCCTGTTTAAAAGCAAAAATAACATAAAATTACATTTTTATTTTTATACATTTATTAAAATATTTTTGCTAATTTCAGTATTAATCATACAGACAGACAATATCTTCTTTAACTCATTCCAAATGTTATTCAAACTAAACTGGAAGAATTGTTCAGCAATAATAACAATGTTGGACTATGGACCAAATAATGTATTTTATTAAAAAAAAATGTATTTACATCTACAGCACAATTTTAATGCAAGTGTATAATAATTGTTTTACATTTCTTGTGAATATAAATCAAATTTCCTGTTTAACAGCAAAAAACTGCCAATTTCTCTGTCATCTCTAAGATTCAGTCTGATGTTGACGTGCTCCGTAGCACCACTTTGTTTCTAAACAGTGCGTATACATACTTTATTCAATGAGGTCTGTATCAAATAGTCCTGTATCTGATGAAGGACGTAAGCTATGATGATGTTATACATCAATTTGTATATTTTTTTATTACAATATAGTCCTTAAATACTGCCAGACAATTATGTTAAGCTGTATCACTGCCTTTGTTTATATTTGTTTTGACTGTGATGTACTCCACAGATGCGTTAACTGTTGCACTTTTAAATGTTCAAAATTATATTTTAGAATAATAAAAAAAAACTCATGTTTGGAGTAACAAAGCTGTGAGTGTGATAACATAAATCATCACTAGCATATCTCATTTTTGTTCACGATGCTCATTTTTGTAAATATTTTATTATATCTTTTCATGTAACAACACTAAATAAATGACACTCTGCTACAATGTAAAGTAGTAAGTGTACAGCCTATATAACAGTGTAAATGTGCTGTCCCCTCAAAATAACTCAACACACAGCCATTAATGAAAAAGGGAAAAAGAAAGGGTGCGCCTTAGAAGTAAGTGAAAATAATACTTATATAAATGTTCAAAAGTCCAAGCAATTCTGCAATAGTCCAAAGTTATTGGCAGGAATAGATCCTTGTAGGACAGCAGATGGGGTATATGGTCACAGATGAAGACTCGTTGTCCAGAGGTATATATGTGAGAGAAGCAGAAGACATAAGACTCCAATGGTACAGTATGTAGTAATATAAGGTATTGGGTATAGAATAATGAAACTGCTCACTGTATCCAGAGCTTAAATCCAGCTCTGGTTTGAATTGTGCAAAGTGGAACAATCCCCACTCAAGGATATGTGAAGTTTCTCTAGTATTCTTCAGTAGGATAGTTCAGTAGGATAGTCCAGCTCGAGATGAGAGCCAATAAAATGTATAGTGCTCCCTGTATAACTATTAGGGATGATAAAAAACAGGATAAAATATACTCACAGTATATTGAGCAGACGCACTGCTTGATGGGTAGCGTATGGGTGGTACAATCCCCGCCTAGGGATTCTTGGTGCTTCTTATAGATGGTAAAACAGTGGTGTCAGGTCAGGATAAAAAATAACATAAAAGATAAAATACCAAAAATAAAAATAATATAATAATACAGTGAAAAAGGAATATGGCAACAATATAGAAAATAGCCACAAAAAAAAAATCCTTTATTAACACTGAACAATAAGTATAAAAAGTTTCTAGACGCGTTTTGCCACAGCTGGCTTCATCAAGTAGAAACTAATAGCTATTAGTTTCTACTTGATGAGGCCAGCTGTGTCGAAACGCGTCTAGAGCTATTAATTTCTACTTGATGAAGCCAGCTGTGGCGAAACGTGTCTAGAAACTTTTTATACTAATTGTTCAGTGTTAATAAAGGAATTTTTTGACTAATTTCTATATTGTTGTATCCAGGAGGTGCATCCAGCGGACATCTTTTTGGAGAAGCATCTTTTCCCTATCACCTCTTTTAGTAAGTGGGGAAACCTTTCAAGCACCTGGTAACGTAGCTGTGAAGCATTATGCCTCTTTTCTGTAAAATGAGACTGGTGCATCAGACGTTCTGCTACAAATCGTAGTCTTGTGTTGAGACATACAGTCTTTTAGGGAACGTATCGTTTTTCCTAAGTAGACCTACTGTCCACCCCCCCAGCCCCCACCCCTGAGCGGTCAGTGCTGGGCATAAATAAAAATTGGGGGGGGGGGGACCTACTGTCCTCCCCCCGGCCCCCACCCCTGAGCGGTGAGTGGGGGCCATAAATATAAATTGGGGGTGGGACTACTGTCCTCCCCCCCCTGGCCCCCACCCCTGAGTGGTGGGTGGGGGCCATAAATTAAAATTGGGGAGGGGACCTAATGTCCTCCCCCCTGGCCCCCACAGCTGAGCAGCGGGTGGGGGCCATAAATAAAAATTGGGGGGGGGACCTAGTGTCCTCCCCCCGGCCCCCACACCTGAGCGATGGGAAGCCATAAATAAAAATTGTCACCTGGAGGGTGGATTCAATTTTTAATTTAGGGCCCCCACCCGTTGATCAGGGGTGGGGGCTGGGGTGGAGAACAGTAGGTCCCCCCTTATTGTTATTTAGGGCCCCCACCCACAGCACAGGGAAGGGAGTCGGGGGAGGACATTAGGTCCCTCCCCCCAATTTTTATTTATGGCCCCCACCCAACGCTCAGGGGTGGGGGCCAGAGGGATGACATCAGATGTCCCCCAATTTTTATTTATGGCCCCCACCCACCGCTCAGGGTGGAGGTCCGGGGGGGGAAGGACAGTAGGTCCCCCACACTCTCATTTATGGCCCCCACCCACCGTTCAGGGGTGGGGGCTGGAGGGGAGGACAGTAGGTCCCCCCGTTATTGTTATTTAGGGCCCCCACCCGCCGCGCAGGAGTGGGGGTCGGAGGGGAGGACAGTAGGTCCCCCTTATTGTTATTTATGGCTGTGCAGGGGTGGGGGCCGGGGGGGAGGACAGTAGGTCCCCCCCACATTCTTATTTATGGCCCCCACCCACCGCTCAGGGGTGAGGGCCAGGGGGGAGGACAGTATGCCCCCCCTTATTGTTATTTAAGGCCCCCACCCACTGCTCAGGGGTGGGGGTTGGGGGGGAGGACAGTAGGTCCCCCCTCCACATTCTTATTTAGGGCCCCCACCCGTCGCACAGGTCTTTCAGCCTTTTGGTAGATAGCTCCCTAATACTGTGGGAATTAGGGAGTTATCTACTAAGTGGCTGCTTATTTTATGTTATTTTAAGTGATTTCCCTATCCACATTTATTTGCAGGGCACTTGTCCTACTCTTACCCCCATTTTACTTCCTTTTGCAGCCCTCTAGCCCTTTCCAGGACTTTTTTAGAGCCATTTTAGTGCCCAAAAGTTCGGGTCCCCACTGACTTTTTTTCAAAGTTCGACCTGAACATCCAGGTGTCCGTTCAACTCTATCTGCTAACAAACGGGGGCGATCCATAAAAGACATGGTTAGAACTTCAGTTAGGTTTATACTGGAGTATAATTATTTATTTTTGATGGAAGATTTTTCCTGAATATAACGGGGAATGCCATGGGCACCGTGTTAGCCCCCAGTTATGCCAACATATATATGAGGAATTGGGAGGAACTCTGGTGTGGTCGGACCATGTCTCAAAGGTGAGCCTCGTGCTCTGGCGGCATTTCATAGATGACATACTGATCACCTGGGGGTTTCACCTCAAGCATTTGATTCATTTTTTCAATATCTAAATCAAAATTCATTTAATTTAAAATTTACCCCAGAGTGGAGTAATAAAACCATTAACTTTTTAGATGTGACTTTGTTTAATGAGGATAAGAATGTGACATCTCGTTGCTTCTTTAAGCCAACTGATGGCAACAGCTACGTTCACCGTAAAGGTTTTCATCACCAGCCGTGGCTTAGAGGAATAGCTAGAAGTCAATTCACTCGAGTGAGATGGAATTGTTCTGACACTCGAGACTATGAATTGCAGGCTAACCATGTTAGAGACAAATTACTACAAAAAGGTTTTAAGAGGAACTCCATAGTAAAAGAAATAAAATTAGCCAGAATTAAAGAAAGGAACTTGCTACTACTTATGGACAAACCAAACAAAATTAAAAATACCAAGTTTCAAGAGAGTTTTATCATTAGATACAACAAGGACCATTGGAAAATCAAAAGAGGCTTGGCTGGCTAAGCATTGGACTATCCTCTTACAGGACCCTGTGTTAAAGGACCATTATAGTGCCAGGAAAACATACTCCCACCCTCAGGGTCCCCCTCCCTCTGGGCTCTAAGGGGAGGAAGGGGTTAAACTTACCTCTTTCTCCAGCGCTGGACGGGGGACTCTCGTCCTCCTCTTCTCCTCCATAGCAACGTCATCGGCTGAATGCGCATGTGCGGAAGGAGCCGCGCGCACGCATTCAGCCAGTCCATAGGAAAGCATTCACAATGCTTTCCTATGGACGTTGGCATCTTCTCACTGTGAAAATCAATGAGACAGCCACTAGAGGCTGGATTAACCCACTTATAAACACAGCAGTTTCTCTGAAACTGCTATGTTTATAGATGAAAGGGTTAATCCTAGCTGGACCTGGCACCCAGACCACTTCATTAAGCTGAAGTTTTCAAGTTTTTCTGGGTGCCTATAGTGATCCTTCAAGTACGATTTTACAAAAAAAACAAAAAAAAACCCAGTAATGTATTTTAAAAATTGTAAGCTAACAAATCTTTTATCTCCCAACTATGTGAGAGGTATATAAACCATCAGTCGACAAAAAGATCCTGGAGAACCAGGTTTTAAAGTTGTGGGAGGTGTAAAACTTGCTGCACCATGAAATTGCTAAAGACTACTACATTTAAAAGTACCACAACAGGAGAGACGTTTTCCATCAAGACACCGATTGATTGCCACATGGACTACGTTGTGTATCTACTGCAAGTTCAGTGCGGAAAACAATATGTGGGACGTACCAAGCGATACTTTAAAGTTAGAATACTGTAGCACGACAATAATATTTTTTATATATTTTTTTTTATATTGACATTTCTAGTGGCACATAACACACATATTCTCATCTGGAGGAATATGTAATTGACCGTAATTTTGGCTTGTCAGATGGGGCAACTCATATAACTATGAATATAGTATAAGTGAGTGATGAGTAATGGGCTTACATTCATAGCACTTTGATTTATAGTGCACTGATCCTTTACCTAAATATATAAGGAAAAATCTTGCTTAAAATAAATATGTGAAGATGATAACTGTTGATTAAGACAACTTCATTTTTTCACTAGAGTAAAGAGTTGAAAGTAAATACGTGATCGGTTTGTGAACATTTTTTCTAAACTTTTCAGTTTTCCCTTAGTATGCCCGTAATATCTTAATGATTATACCCCCCTCTTTATCACTTGTCTTTATTTATATTTGTTATTTTGTCATCTGTGTGCCTTGACACCTCCATTTTGTTCTCATCTATCCATAAAGTCTACAGTTTTTCCTTCTATTGCATTCTTTTGAATGATGGATTGTGGGAAATAGCTTAACAACTGAAATGAAGCTTTGCTAAAGCTCCACCATTGCCAACATCACTCTCCCCATGAGATAAAGTACTCCCTACTTTTTCTTATGTATAATTAACGATTGCCTCAATTTAATAAGTTCCTGTGATGGACCGCCTGGCGCCCCAACTGGGTGCCTCCGTCAATCGATGTTCCTAGTGCTCACTGAGGACTCCAAGCACTCCACTAGACACCATAAGCACCGTAGACTCTACAAACCGCCAAAGCTTGGTTGGGATCTCGCCGTCCTCCACCCACCGTGGACCCAAGACCAGGATCCAGCTTCCAGTGGGTAGACCTCTCCTACTCCAGAGAGCGTAGCAGGAACAGATCTTAGAAGAGGTCGTGATTAAACTCAGGGACTGAGGGGAGTATTGTGATATAGCAATCCCCAGAGTGTATGTAGTTCTCCAATCCCCCAAACATGAGCCAAGACATCATGAAGGAGTAAAGCATTCTGTTTTATGAAAGCCACAGCTGGCCTTTTATGCAAGCCCCCAAGCAAGGTGTACGCCCACATGGACCTTGTTGGGGACCAGGGACACAAAGCTTACAAACCAATCAGAACAGTAATTAAATGTATGACATGCCCATAAAAAACATACAATCCCTCCCCTCTGCCTGTAAGATAATTGAGTCAGATACTGTATTAACCCAATTATCTGCAGGCAGAAAAACACATGTTTTACAAAGTCCCATAAGTACCCCAAAATACAACATATCCCCATGATAGTCCTGATCTGGGTGACCAACATATCCAAAAATCACCCAGATCAGTTCAGGGATTTAGAAATTTTATGGAAGTCATGTATTTGACTGACCGCAGGCATGGTCCCAGTTCCAGAGAATCAGGGCTTGTGGTTGGTATAGTTCGGTAGTTTGAAAATGAACAAACTACCGAACAGAGTCAGTAGTCTTACTCTGGAGCTTGTTCCCTTCATCCAGACAAATGATCTCACCGAACCCAGTGCCCTTCAAAGCTGAATAGAAACGAACGCAGTCCAGCGGTGTTCGGGAGTTTCTGCATCCGATTTCAGTTCCATGAGATTCATGCCCAAACATTGCTGCCTGCGTTCATGTGAACAAGATGGCCGCCACCTCGTGGTTGCTCATAGAAATTGCGGCCACCCAGACAAACAATTATAACACTGCGGTGAGAAACGTTCCGCAGAAATTGTTCAGACACCAAGGATTTTATAGAACAGGCCTAATCATTGAAAGAACAATTCATTGATAAAAATTACCCACAGACCAACCTAAACAAAACTCTAGAAATAGTCACCAAAAAACTTTAGAATATAAATCAAAAAATAATATAGACTCTCCTTTTATGCCTGTCATTTTTAACTTTAATAATAGAAGTACAAGAATCAAAAAAATCATTAAGAAGTATTGGCACATTTTAAAAGAAGACAAAATTTTAAAAGAACTCATTCCTAACAAGCCGAGTATAGTTTTTAGAGGCGCTCCCAATTTTAAAACTATCCTCACCAAAAACTACACCAAAATCCACACAAACAAAAATTCAACCCTTTTATCTAATTCTAAAGGCTTTTTTAAATGTAATACCTGTATAGTGTGTAAATCCACAGATCATAATATAAAGACAAAAAACACCCATTTTACATCCCACAACACAAAAATATCCTGTCCTATAAAAGACATTGTTACTTGCAACACAAAAAATGTTATTTATTTACTTTAATTTCCATGTGGCTTGCAATATGTGGGTATGACCTCTCGCTGCCTAAAAACTAGACTAGCAGAGCACTGCCGTAACATACAAAAAGGCTACCCAAACCACTCCTTGCCAAAGCATTTTTTAATACATGATAAAAACCCCAAATTTTTAAAATGCAAAGGTATAAAGGTGTAAACTCCCATGGAGAGGTGGCGATATAAAAAAGATTTTAGGTCAGAATGAAATGTACTGGGTTTTCCTTCCAAGAGTTAAATGTGGACTTCGACCTTTATAACTTTTCATAACTTTTTCGTAATGTCATATTATTTTATTAGTTTTTATCACTTCTCATTTAATATTGATGTATTATCCTGACCAATTTATCTAACCATGCAGCCTTTTACAATACCATGTATTAGTATACTGTAACTTTTAATATTAACTTCATGCATATTTATTAATGCTTTTAAGATTATATGTTATGTCATTTTGCTAAGAATAACCAATCTTCCTAAAAACCTGTATTAATCCACCTAAAGAACCCTGCCACTTCTTTATATAATACTTGAATTAACTCCCCTTTACCTATTTGTCATACATTTATATAGTGACAGCCAGTCCATGTTCCCCACTCCCCCTCTCCCCCTTCCCTTCTCCCATCCTTTATTTTCTAAATTAGTCCCTAGTCTAGTCTGTACCTTTAGCTATACATTACAGCCATTCATCAGATCAGAGTGTGTTCGAGCGTAAGTCACGCCCACACTCCTATTTCCCCTCCTTCCCTCACAGCTATATCAGCTGTACACTCCCCGGCCGATGGCATCATAACCCCGCCCCCAGCCGAACTACACGCCCATCTCATCTGCCTCCACACACCCCTTCCAATTAGCCTGGCAGTTCATATTGGTTTTTCCCAAACACTACATGTCCCAATACTCCTAGCGGCACGTCACGTGATCCGCCGGGTTTCCAAAATGGATGCCGATCACGTGACCAACTAAAATATCATTTTTACCACATTTATAACCCTCATTTTTACTCTATATTTTAGGGGAAGCTACCCTGATACCCCATCTATCAAATTATAATGTCAGTTCTATATTTTGGAAATTTTACTTTACTTTGATGACATAATTTGGGCGCCAAACTCTAACCATAATTAAAAAATCAGTCCCCCTATATAAACCCTACCTTACCAAGCATGTTTTTTGTCTCCACTTGAGAAAGCCTTCATAGGTGAAACACGTTGTGGATATTTTAATATTTTATCCTGTATTTCTAATAAAGGTTTTTTGGCTACTTTTAACTCACTTTGATTGTGCCATTTTACTCTTTTATTCATTATTTTTTATTTTGCTTGGTACCCTGATTTTACTCCTCCTGCTGAGTATTACTCCAAAGACATCCGAGGTGGGGATTATACCACTCACGCCTGAGTCATTGAGCAGTGTGCCTGCTCAATCCCATGTGAGTATACATTTTATTTATACTCGGTATGTGCTATTTTATACAGCGAGCACTATTAGTTGTCTCTTCTCTTTCATGATCTATATAACGAAACAAGACTCAACCCTCTACAAGTATCCTGTAAGCGGGGATTATACCGCTGTACGCCATTCACACTAGAGCCGGTTTGAGCTCTACCCCACATGAGTAGGACTATAGTAGACTCTATTGTCGTACATATCACCTCTAGATGTATTGCCCTATCATCTGTCTTTTTTTCCCCACATACGGATCTAAAGACCATTCCTACAAGCGGGGATTGTACCGCTGTATGCCATCCACACTAGAGCTAGGTTAGCTCTACTACACGAGAGTAGGATTTCGATAGATCTCTTCTTCCTGCAATTCAATACTTTGTATCAGACATATTTGCACTATTACTTGTTTCTTTCTTTACATACGGATCCTGAAAGCCGCCTTCACTTGACCCATAAAGAGAACATTCCTCTACACAAGTCGCCAGTGCCCCATAAGGCCCACCTTGAGACTTTGTTCTGGCACTATTTTTGGACTTTGTATATTTTAGCTGGATCATAGCCAGATTTGGCGCAACCTTTTCCTATATTACACAGCCATTAATGTCTAAACCGTTGGCAACAAAAGTGAGTACACCCCTTGGTGGAAATGTCCAAATTCTACCCGATTAGCAATTTTCCCTCCCTGTTGTCATGTGACTCGTCAGTGTTACAAGGTCCCAAGTGTGAATGGGGAGCAGGTGTGTTAAATTTGGTGTTATCGCTCTCACATTCTCTCATACTGGTCAATGGAAATTTTTACATTTCCACTTAGGGGTGTATTCACTTTTTTTTGCCAACAGGTTAGACATTAATGGCTGTGTGTTGAGTTATTTTGAGGGGACAGAAAATTTACATTGTTATATAGGCTGTACACTTACTTCTTTACATTGTAGCAGAGTGTAATTTCTTCAGTGTTGTCACATGAAAAGATATAATAAGATATCTGAAAAAATGTGAGGGGTGCACAACAATTTAAAACTTAATCATTTAATACCTTTTTGAACCAGTATTCATTCCAGACAGCAAAATGCATTTTGCTTCGATTTCGCTTTACTTTTAACTAATTTCTGGATGCGAAAAACTAATATGACTTTGAAAACTCTCAGTTAGCTATCGGTTCTGACATATAGTCCACTTATGATGATGTAGGATATGGGTATACAGTTAAAGGACCACTATAGTGTCAGGAAAACATACTCATTTTCCTGGCACTATAGTGCCCTGAGGGTTCCCCCTCCCGCCCGACTCTGGGGAGAGGAAAGGGTTAAAACTTACCTTTTTTCCTCCTCCTCTCCCCCTCCTCTCCTCCCCTTCGGCTGAATGTGCACGCGTGGCAGGAGCTGAGCGCGCATTCAGCCCGTCTCATAGGAAAGCATTTACAATGCTTTCAATGCTTTCCTGTGGACGCTTGCGTCTTCTCACTGTGATTTTCACAGTGAGAATCACGCAAGCGCCTCTAGCGGCTGTCAATGAGACAGCCACTAGAGGTTTTGGAGGCTGGATTAACCCTATTATAAACATAGCAGTTTCTCTGAAACTGCTATGTTTATTTAAAAAAGGGTTAATCCTAGAGGGACCTGGCACCCAGACCACTTCATTAAGCTGAAGTGGTCTGGGTGCCTAGAGTGGTCCTTTAAGGGCATGGTAAACCTGAACGATGAGTAACTGTAGACCTTATTATTTATTGTCTGCTTATAGCTTCCATGGAGTTACAGTTAAAGTATTGCTCCTTTTATTTTTTAGTTTTGTTGTTATGCTTTACCTTAATGTTTTGTTGATGTTTTTTTGTTGCTGACAGTTTTTGTTATTTGTGGTAATATGACATTTTCCACCCAGAAACACCTAATTACTCCACTTGTAAAAATATCCTACCGCCATTATTTTGGCATCTATGGGACCAGGAGAAACCAAGAGCACTTCATACTTTCTACATGTTCTGTGAAAATACCTGGATGGTTAAATAAAAAAATGTTCAATGCATTTTGCCATCCCAATGATTTAGAGAGAGCCCACAAATCATATAAATGACTGCTTTTTTGTGCGGCACCTCCTATTAAGCATAGCATGTAAAAAAAAAAAAGAAGGGAGTGCGGAATACCCCAACATCCTGTCAGCTGTCTGACTAGTGCCACATGGGGACAATCAACCTCACCCTTGAGAACAGTACAGTGTGCAGGCAGATGAAGGTGGGGGCAGTGTGAAGAAGAAATCACCTTCATCATCAAAGTATCCCAATCTGAGTCGCTGAGTGAGCCAGACAGAATTACGCAGGGTGAACTAGCTGATCTAAATCGGGACCTGGATCAAAGTAGAGCTTCTAGAAACAAGGCTCCAACAATGGAATCTTCTACAACCTTCTTATTTTCCCCCCTCATAATGCTGATCCTCTTTCTCCGTTTTCCCTGCAAGTTGACAGTGCTTGCATCAGACCATCCTTGCAAGCTCATTGTCTTGGTGTTGTCTTTGATCCTGGGCTCACCTTTGCCCCACATATCCAGTATGTTGCTAGAACCTGTCGATTTCACCTTAAAAATATTGCCTGCATCCGTCAATTTTTCATGCAAGATGCTGCCAAGGAGCTTGTTCATGTTCTGGTAATCTCTTGCATGGATTACTGTAATTCTCTCCTAGTTGGTCTCCCCAAAAGCCAAACTGCCCCGCTATAACTGGTAATGAATGCTGCCATCAGGTTGATCGTTCCTCTCATACTTCACCCCTCTGTCGATCCTTACACTGGCTTCATGTATTTTATAGGTGTCAATTCAAAATATTAACCCTTACCTATAAAGCTCTAACCAATTCTAGCCTTTCTTATATTTCTTCCCTGATTCGTAGATATGCTCCTTCTCGGTCTCTCCGCTTTATCGGTGACCTTCTCCTGTCCACCCTTACTGCCAACTCACACGTGCAGGACTTCTCACGATCGGCTCCCTTCTTTTGGAACAGCCTGCCTACCCCCAATCAGACTCTTCCCTAGTCTTCAATTGTTTAAGTCCCTCAAAACACATCTGTTCAGAAATGCTTATGGACTCACAGAGTAACTTATCTATACTTACCCAAGTCTGTCTTTTGCACTCCTACAGAGCCATACTCCACTCTCACCTCCAGCTCTGCTACTTTTCCACCTTGTTTGGTGGCTGTCACCCTTGCTGCCCTAGTGTGTATTTGTACCCCACCTCATCTAGACTGTAAGCTCGTCTGAGCAGGGTCCTCATCTAACTTCATCTGGATGAAGTTCCTGTGTCACTGTGTAATTGTCTCATGTATGGTAAATTCTCCCCCCCTTTCATAATATTGTAAAGCGCTGTGGAATTTGTTGGTGACATAATAATACCAATAATAATAATATAACCTAATGCTAAGGTGTCTGTAAGCAAGAGTTGACAAAAATATTTCTTCCCATATTTTAAAAAGCAAAATAACTTTGCGTGTTGTAATCCCAATGGCTTGATGACAGTTTTGAATGCCATCAAACCATTGAGATTACAGCAGGCATCCCACAGGACTGGAGACTATTTATAGACTCCTTAAACCTTAGTTTTAAAAAAACTGCACAATAGCAATTATCTACCTTCAATTCCTGTAAGTCATGCAGTCC